TATACTATTGTTGAGATATTATGAGTTGGCATACTTCTGGATTTACTGTTGATTTGCATTTGATTTCATACTTATACGTAGTATGATTTTGTGGAAACTATACATGTTTTACGACAAGGGATTAGTATGTTCAGAAAATAAATGTGTTTTACAAACCTTTGTTTTTGCCCACTTACCCTTCTGTTTTTCCGCCCTCCATGTCCTAATTAGATGATTTATTCTGTGGCGTACGAGGAATATCCGGTGGTTCTGACATATCCATAAATAATGTAGGAACTTTTCCCGGTTATGTATTAAGTACTTAACTAGTTTCAACTGCACTACTTATGTCATCTATGCTCTGAACATTTATGGGTTCTTTCTACTACTGCGCACTCTTTACTTTAGAATAATTAATTTTTAGTTTTGCTTTAAATTTATCCACAATTTTATGCTTCACTTCCCTTTTTGGTTATGTCACCTTCAGGTGACGGCCAGCATGCCTTGACTCCAGTAGGGGTGTGTCAAATGTGTTGTAGTGTTTTTAGATGAAAATAACAATTATTGAGAAAAGCCCAAAGGGCAAAAAGAGCTAGCAAATCTCCTAACCAAGTCAGACTCGCCTCCGTAGGTAAAGAGTGATGCCACACCACTGGATTAAAAGATGACTACCCCACAAAATTAGCCTCACAGAACGCATGAAAGAATGAAATACTCTAAAATCGACATGCCAACTTTTTCACATTATGGATAATAGTAAAGAGATGTTAGGGACATTAATAGCATCGACAAGGATCTTTGAATCCCTCTCCGCCCCAGCTGCAAAAATCCCTTGTCTAATGCCTCTTAAGACCATCCACCAGAGCTTGTCCCTTAACCACAAGAATGTTAGATTTCCGAATTCTCCTAGCATCATCTACTAAGGGAATCCCCACATCATCATGAGTAACATAGGCATAAGCATCTCTATTAGCAACAATAACTAATCAATCAAAATTAAGCTTCTTCACAGCATTATCAGGATGCCTCCACCTAATTGCAGTAAGTTTGGACAAGGTGGGAGACTTTGAACGATGGTTTGCATGTAAGAAGCTTCTTCTAATAGACAAAGCTTTCAAAAATGTACCTCTAGCCTTAGGCCAAATTTGACGAAAGACCCAGTTATTCTTATCATTCCTATTTTGAAATAGTTATAGAAGAACTTGCTTCTAATGGTGAAGCCAAGTATTGTCAAGGGAGGGGCGAATTTAAAAGGGCCAAGGTAAAAAAAAATGTAGATAACCAAATTGATGAGTCGATTTCATATTATATACCAAATTGATGAGTTGATTTCATATCATATATTTTACCCTATTCTTAGTATAATTTGGTAATTATTTTGGTAGAATTTTGACACTTTGTTTTATATTTTCAACATAAGACATTTGACTTCTTCTAGAGAGTAACGTAACCAAATTGACGAATTTTGGAGTAATTCAAATGGGAGGATGTTCGTGTGTTCCTTAGCTTGTTTGTGTCCAAATTTTAGCAATTTCTACTTAGCGGTTATTTTCTGGTGATTAATTAAAGGAGCAGTGCACGTTGTTGGAAAGTGGCGTTTTTGGGTAATTGCGATTTTTGGAGCCCAAGATGACTTCTGATGCGTTTGTGGTCTTCTAGAGAAGTGTTCAAAATAGTCCAAGCTTTAAATCCGACTATCTGGGCCGGTTTTGGAGCTGATATGGGTCCAAAACATGGTTGTACAAAACTTTGGGTGAATTTACTAAGTCAATTTAGGATTATGTTTCTTAATTTATTTTTAATTTATTTGGCTTCCTAGTTTTATTCTAAGACCTTTTACTAGGAGGATTTAGTTAGAGTAGTATAAACAAGCCTTTTGCCCGGCCCTAGCTTCTACTTCTTTATGCAATTTGTGGAGAGAGAATTTTGGCCAAAGCTTAGAGATTTCAAGTTTTATACTTTCAAGGTGTTTTCATTATTTTTCTGTTTCAATAAAGACTTTGTGATTTTTATTATGAATATGCATAACTAATCCTCTTTGCTAGGGTGAGACCATGAGCTTTAGCAAGAATATATAGTCTCTTTTTAATTTGCTTATAAATTTATGCATGTAGGTTTTGAATTGTTAATCACTGGTTTAAACTATCTATATGTCTTAGTGATTCGCAACTATTAGGATATTTAGAAAAATAGTTTGATGCAAGTCCCTAAAATTGACAAGGCTTCTTGTGGTTAATATGTGTAACTTATTAGGATGGACGACACGTCTGAAGGGTTACATGGTTTTTCAAAAGGTTTTCACAAAACTTAATGAGTCTTGCATGTTCGCATTTGATCTAGGCACCACAGACGTGTTGCATGTAAGAAATACTTCTATGTTGGAGGTTCCAAGTAGGATATACTTTAGGAAAGCCTAACCTTCAAAATATGCATGTGTAATTCATAAGTAATTAGAAGAACTACATTGGATTGTTAAGGTGACAGCGGAACCCTAGTGCTTTCTCACTTTGAATTCAAAAAAATGTTTCCTTTTTCCTTCTTTAAAATTGCAGATTTTAGTTAACCTTTTTAATTAAATTCGTTTTTCTTAATTTAGGTCATTAAATCACTTTTTTCCAAAATTTTGTTCTAAGTAATTAGTTGAGAATTGGTTTCACATTAACTTATTTAAATTAATCCATGTAGAGAACGACCTTACTTGAGCCAACTATACTACTATAATTTTGACAAAAAAAAAAAAAAAAAAAAAAACTATACTACTATAATCTTGTTTCTCTTGCAAGTATTTTAGGTGTTTTTAACCTTTTTTGCGTAGGTGATAAAAATCCTATCACAAATCATTTAGAAAGTAGATAATATTAATTTCATTCATAATTTATTAATACAAATAAGTTATAATTGCTTATCACAAATCCTTTAGAAAGTAGACAATATTAATGTTATTCATAATTTATTAATACAAATAAGTTATAATTGTTGCCAACGAGATTTCATGTCATGAAAACGTTGCCTAATAGGCTCATTATCAATAAAAGCAAATACATCTATCTCAATGTAAACAACCATATTATCACTCAACCATTGATTTCTCATTTTGTTGTGCAATGGTGTTTGCACAATATTCATAACAGAAAAAGTTCTCTCCACCGAACCAATTGCAATTGGTAACACCAAAGCCAATGTAAGAAGCTTATACATTAATTTGTAGCTTACACACCTTCCGGACTTCACCAACTCCTTTGAAAGATCACTAATTCCTTTCAATTATGAAAACTCACTATACATCTTCATATCATGAATATAATTGTCAAGTTGAATTGGAAGATTCGTGAGGTCCACACAATCAAACCTGAGAATAAAATTAGGCAAAACAAACTATTTTGCATTGGTCAAAAGATGCAAAATTATTTACTGAACTCAAACATGCCATACATATAAGCAACTTGGTGTTTACCTCATTAAAACGATTATTCAATATGTTGCTTTTGTGTCATCAATCTCTAGGTTGTTGTTGTGAAGCTTTACTATAAAGACTTCCCGCTTTATCAAAACATATTTGAAAAAAATAGCAATAACGGCAAAATCCAACATCTTTTATTATACTATACTCCAACCACTCAAAATTATCAAACTAATGAGTGATAATTGATTGTCTCCCCCCATAACTTTTGTTGGCATTTTGTGGGTTTTAGGTAGACAATGGTCCTTTTGTAGTCCACGAATTGCTTTGTGATAATTAAGCTCATAATCAATCAATCGAGGTTTAAGTCCAATGTCTACAGAAAGATTAGCTAATATTTATCTAACTTAGTGACCTGACTTTTTTGTGAACTACCCAAAATATTTACAGGAGGATTTGGACTAACCGGAATATTCGAATAAGGACTACCCGGGATATTTAACTGAGGATTCGAAGGAGGATTTAAGCATTACTTCTTATAGTATCGTTCCATTACGAAATTGTATAATGAGGGAAAAAAATTGGGTCTTAGACTCTACTATGACTAATAACTATTAACTAATCCAACAACAAAATCAATTCAATTAACTAATCAAACAACAATTCAGTTAATTAATAATCAATTCAATTGACCAATAATTAATAATCATATATTAAACAACCATGCAATTAATAAATTCAATTAACTAATCAAACAACAATTAGTTAATCAATAATCAATCCAATTAACCAATAATCATATATCAGTTAAACAAAATGTACAATTATCCACCAGGGATTTAAATTTGAAAAATTAGAGTTTTACCTCAAAATTTATGATGGCCGGTGGTGGGCCAGGTGGCAGACAACAACATGGAGCCAGGGAGGACTACGACACATTGCTAACTTGTTGCGGGTACCTGTGGGCTACAATGGCTTGGCTGGCTACTGCAATGGTGCTTCTAATGGCAAACTCAACAGCACTACATCGTTGCAGTGGAGGACTAGATGGTTGCAAGGCCATTGCAAAGCAACACCAATCGAGCAAAGGGGCATATTTCTGGGTCTTAGGAGCGTTTTACGACAACGGGAGATGCGGGCGCACCTCCTTTTTTCTTGTCACGGAATAAGAGGAACTAGGACAAGGGCACGAATGGTATGTCAATTCAACAAGGTCTCTGAGAAAGCCTAGTGCGAAAGAGCTTGTGATTAAAGACAATTGCTTAGTGTGACACCTATGGAAGTAATAGCATACATGACTTTATCTTTTTATTAAAACTCTAATTTTGTTTTATAATGGATATTTTATTTTATTTTATTTTTTAAAATTATTTCTAAAAGAAAAAAGAAACATCAATTTAATGTTGCACAAAACTTAATTGGGCCAACTATTTTTTGCATGTTTTGTTTCATGAGCTTATTTTCACAAAACAATGCGTCAACACATATTTTAGCCCAATTTGGACATTTTGTATTAGCAAAACGATAAACTGTCTTGCAAATCGTTAGCGAAGTGCTATTTCCGCGGAATGTGGCAAAGAAGGATTTTCACCCATACTTGGTGAATGGTGGGTTTGAGGAATAATACAAAACGCGGCGTTGCATACGAAACCGATTAGAACACAAAAATCTAGCTGAAGGGATAAACCTGGCCGGGAAAGACAAGCTGCGAACAATGGTGGGTTCGAAAAGGTCCGTTAGACATAGCTCTGTCTCCTGAGGTGCCCAAGATAACGAAAACAGATATGCTTCTCCTTGCTCACCCCTGTAAGTCTTTCTCCTTCCCCGACTCGTCACTTCATCTCGACAATTTCAACTCACAAACCTCAGCGTCTGCAAAACCTTCAAGTTATAGCTCCTTTTCCCCAATTGGGTTGTCGAAAAGTCTGAAACTTTGTAGGAATTTTCCCGTCTGGGGAAGTACCCGTATTACGTTTTGCTCTAGGAGTCAGGTGTATGATATTTTTCCAAGTACCCATTTGGGGAACAAGTCTGAAGGGGATGGGGTTGTAGAGAATGAAGAGCTTGAGCTGCTGGATAAGCCTTCCCCTGTACCTATAAGTAATGGGTCTGCTTTGGAAGTGGATAATGATTCCGAAAAATCGGATGAAGAATCGGAAATGGTTGATAAAGACGAGGCATTGGCGCCTTTCTTGAAGTTTTTCGCTCCGAGAGATAGTGCGGATGGAGAGGGAGTGGAAGAAAAGGGAGGGGAGGTTGGAGTTTTCGAGGAAGAAAGTGAATTGGATGGTGATAATGAGGAGGCTGAGAAGGTTAATGTGGAGTACTATGAACCGAAACCGGGTGATTTTGTGGTTGGAATTGTTGTTTCAGGCAACGAGAATAAACTTGACGTGAATGTCGGAGCAGACTTGTTGGGTACAATGCTGACTAAGGAAGTACTGCCTTTGTATGACAAAGAGATGGATTACTTGTTATGTGATACAAATTATGACGCCGAGGAGTTTATGGTTAGAGGGAAGATGGGAATTGTGAAAAATGAAGCTGTGATGGGGGGACCTGTGCCGGGAGGGCCCGTTGTTGAAACCGGAACTGTTTTGTTTGCTGAGGTTCTTGGAAGAACGCTCAGCGGTAGGCCTTTGCTTTCAACTAGACGGCTCTTCAGGCGAATTGCTTGGCACCGAGTGAGGCAGGTCCTTTTCTCACTTTGTTTTGTTCTTTTTTCTGCTCATTGGAACGGCATTGGCAATTTATATGGTGAATATTTGTGCTTGCTGCATGACTTCTTATGTTAATTCTGAAAATGTTGCCTCTATTGCTGTTATGTTTGAGACCATATTTATTAGTTAATAGTCATTCGGTACTCTTAAGTCTTTTATTATCATGACTTCATGATACTTGATTTTCTCTTTGTAACGGCTATGTTGGTGGTAGCATTTAGCTCATGACACTCTGACTGGTTACGTTGGATGAAAAATGTAATCCAGACCTTTTTTTATAAAGCTTTTCGACATATTTTACAGATAAAACAACTCAATGAACCTATTGAAGTTAGAATTACAGAATGGAATACTGGAGGCCTTCTGACAAGAATCGAGGTTTGTATCTTTGACTTCTGTGCGTGTGAAATTGTGAATATATACTTGTTTGAAAACTAACATTTCACAATTTGGTTCATCAGGGTCTGCGAGCTTTCCTTCCAAAAACTGAGTTAATGAGTAAAGTGAACAACTTCACTGAATTGAGAGAGAATGTAAGTTGCTGGTTTTGAGGACTGAAATGTATATCTTTTTTTCATGCAATGTTCATTTAGCTACATTTCTGGTATAATTTGTATTTCTTTATGTTAATGTGTCCAAGCCATTAATCAATACTGATATCATGCATGACGTATCCACTGGAACTATTTCTTTCTACAACACTTTATCAATTTCAAATGAAGCAATTTCTATGAGATGCCAATGGTATTATTAAGAGATGAAAATATAAGAAAAATAATTGCAAAATCTATGTAGTTAGATAGTCCAACCAGCCAGAGTTATCATTAACATCAATGCAGCTTGTGAATACTTGAAGCACTTGAAATCACTGGACACAATCCATTATACCCTGTTTCTTTACAGCCATTGTTTCATAATGATAAGTGCGTGCTTTAGCCCTAAAGTGTAGTACCAGCCACAGTATACTTAGGGCAATGAGGATACTTAGACATCCGAGTTTCGGTGGCAGCCCCATATCACTTGAGGCTTGAAAAGAAAATATATAATCTTCCTTGTTGATATTAAACTGTGGTCAAGGCAATTGTAACTCTACAAATATCAGGAATTTTCATTTAAAGGTCGTTTTCTTGTTTTCATCGAGATTTCACATATGTTGATACTTTTTGTCATATATTTTCAGCAGATATTGTAGTTAATCAATTTGTCCGTGACATGTTTGAACTTAAGTGAAATTTTAAATTCAAGTTTGAAAATCTTCTTTTTGGTGGAGCTATTTGTACAAGTAATGAGACTAAGAATGGCAACAGGCAGGGTAGGCCGGGTATTCGCATCCCACCTCCGCCTCTAAATAGGGCACCGACAACTTTGTATTGTTTAACTTTTTCCTCCCTTAGATAGTTGCATATGTTTGATTTGTTAATCTGCTTCTTACACATGTTGTTTCCTAATGGTGTAGGTGGGTTGCCGGATGCATGTGCAGATTACTCGAATAGACGAAGCTAAGAATGACTTAGTTTTGAGTGAGAAAGAAGCTTGGGTCAGTTGGATTTCAACATTTAATTTATTCATGTTTTTTGTTGCTTGCAATGTTCTCTCATTGTTTGTTCTGAGATTCTGTGATCTTATTTTTCATAAGAACTGACATTGGTTTGCCATATAATGTTTCAGGAACTGTTATACCTTAAGGAGGGAACACTTTTAGAAGGAACTGTCAAGAAAATCTTTCCATATGGAGCCCAAGTGAGGATAGGAGAAACTAACAGGAGGTATAATGACTTTTAAACTTACTTTAAAATCAGACTGGGCGCATAGTTTCCCTGATTTTTCCACTTTTGAAGAGGCGCTGCATGTGTGGAGTACTTTTGAAAGATTAGAACACCACAGAATGGAAATAAAATAGCATGGGACTTTCTCTCAAAAGGTATCTAAATGCATGAAAAAGATGAGAAGATACATAATACTGATCTTCAGAATAGAAATTAAAATTTTGAACTTTAAAATGAAAAGCATGCAATTTTGTACTACTCTTACCCAGTGGTTGCTTCTCAGAATTGCCTCATTCTGAAGAGTTTCAGGACTTACTGCTGATTTTGGAAAGTTTTCTCTGGTAGTGAAAAAACTTATGAAATGTATTACAAAGACTATTGCGGAAAAGAGAGTACGAGCTATTTGTTTTCTGCTTCCTTTAATATAGATATATGTAAGGTGAAAATAACTTGAAATGAAGATAGTATCATCATTCAGGATTCTTGAGGCACCTGCTAGGTTTCTTTATCGTTATATTTTGTTTCAAGACTTCCTTTTCTTTATTCTGTGTATAAAAGTTCTACGTCCCATTGGATCAATATTTTATTGAACGCTGTTTATTAATTTTAAAATGACAAAGTTGGTTGCTCGTCTAGGAGTTAGAGTTTAGATATATTTCTGAATGTCAACAGGACCTTGAAGGAAATGCTGATCCAAAATGATAAAATGAAAAACGCATCGTTTAATCTACATAGCTTTATCGTCGCGTTGTCAATTAAATATATAATATAGCTCAGGCTTGTTCTAGTTGACTGTTATATACCATTTCCTCACCATATCATTTTTTGTCCTAGATTACAGCTGTGTTTAACAAGTGAAGTATGTATCATAAATTTACTTATGTTTGTTGTTGTTGTTTTTCACTGGTGGATAATCGTTTTGAACTTTCTTATTGTTTCCCAGTGGCTTGTTGCATATATCAAACATCACTCGTGCTCGAATTACCTCAGTCAGTGACATACTTAAGGTTAATGAGAAGCTCAAAGTTCTGGTTGTGAAGTCGATGTTTCCTGACAAAATATCTCTCAGGTATACAAGGGAAGGGGATTCTTTCATTTAAATTCATCCATATTGCATACATTTTTGGTGGAGAGAATCTCCGTAATTTTTTCTCTTGTAAAGTCATAATCCTTCTGGCTATATGTACCAATTTTTAAAAACCAGACCTAAGTGAACACTCCAGTATACTAAGCAGGGAACTGGTCATAATTCCGCATACCTATGAACTTTTATTTTTTTATCAAAACATGCATTGAACCGGATTGACCAAGGTGTGACCTTTTAACCTGGTGACTCGTTCTGGCTTTTTATGACCGAGTCCAGTTCTCTACATGCGACATAAGATATTTAAATTGGCTTCTCCGGGATACATAATGCATAAGGGGCCATGGGAAATGGCCTAATAAACAACTGAAATATTTCTAATTGTGTTTTGTCATTTTATCATTAATTGTCAAACGATGTATTTGTTCGGTTATGTAAATAAGGGAAAATCTATTGTATGTCCAAGGGATTGAACTTCTGACCAATAGGTCTAGGAGTAGGACACATAATGTCTAATGCCACAACTACATCTCTTGCTTTTATAAAATATTTTTCCTATTTTGAGAATTGCTCTATGTACATTTTGGTTAGCGATGAAGCTTTGTGAACCATAGCCATGAGATTTCAGGTTCGTGCCTATGTTTTTTAGTTATGGGACATAGAATCACGTAAATCCATTAGAAGTCATCTATGTCATATGTTATTTGAAATTCTGAAACCTCATTCCCCTGCAGTACGCTCCTTTGTCCTCTCTTTCGAACTCTTTTTTTCCATCTCTTCAAGATCTGTCTCGTATCTGTTCTGTATTGGCTCTGCAATAGTTTTTTTCTTTTTAAGATAAAGTAAAGTATGATTTTGTTTGTTTGTGAATCATATTATTCAATTATTTGTGGCCTATTTTTCCCCTTCTGGGAAGTACTTTATGAAGAATAGATTGCCTGGATTAGCAGCTTTCAGTTTGTCACCTTAGTCCTGAAGTTTCAGCCCTTTTTAATAGCTAGAGTATTGTTTGGCACGCAAGATTCAATAAATGACTTGTAGAGGATAAATTCCTTTAGGTTTGTTTCAGTTAACTTCATCGCAAAAGGGATTTGCGTTTGTACTATTGTTTCACATAAACTTCATCACATTTTTGTCTGAGTTTCCTTTGTGATGGTGATGATAACCCCAAAGTGTATTTTCACAACCTTAAGCTATTGTCGTCTGATTTTTCTGTTTTCCTTGAAATTAATTTTGTTTGAGCAATCACAACTGATGGCAACTTCAACTTTTCTTGCAGCATTGCTGACCTTGAAAGTGAGCCTGGCCTCTTTTTGTCGAACAGAGAGGTAACACCATTATTTGTTTCCCCTACTTACGAAATTACTTGTTTCGCCTGAGTAATGCTTTCCACAAGATGATGAGCTTAATTAATAACATTTCTTCCTTTTGGCAGAAATTATTTTTGGAGGCTCAAATGATGGCAAAGAAGTATAGGCAAAAGCTGCCTGCTGTTCTTACCAACCGCAAGTCAGGATCCCCTGAAAACGATGCTCTGCCTTTTCACAAATTAAGCATGTATGCAAATTGGAAGTGGTTCAAATTCGAAAAGTAATAAGAACCAAGCTGATGCTTAAGGTTGCCCTGCGATACTGGTAGTTTGAAAGAGCACTGTTTAACTTTGCCATCCATCTCAAAGCACACATTCCTCAAGCGTCGATAGGTAAGAAAAGCAAACTATTTTGTTTTGTGATGAGTCTTAGATTAGGGAATTTACCTCACTATCCATTAGAAAATATGTAGTTTGCAAAAGGAAAAAGCATAAGATGGTTGCGGTACAGCATTTTTCACATGGCATTCCGTTTAAAGATTCGAAAAGAACTCGAACCAAACATATTCATTCGGAAATTCAAAGTCTCATTTGTTAGTTGGTCATTGCTCTCACATCTTCGATCTTCATCTGTAATTGAACTCAACTCGAGTATGATCGTACACTCATGTCCTAATTATTTGTGCAATCTGTGTATTCATCACCTAGCTATTTCCAATGCTTGGTTTGTGTTATATTTCCCTTACAACGCTACAATGCATCATATGCCATGTCCTAATTAGTATGCATCTTTTAGAAAACCGAATCCATACCATTTTGTACCAAAACAGAACCAATTCCGAAAAGTTTGGTACAACTTCGGCACACCCCTGCTTACTGAACCGAACCCTACCAAATTGTAATTTGGTTTCGGTATCACCTACGTAGCGTATCGGACCGGAGGACTTTTCTCACTTGTGAAACAAAAGCCTTGCTTCAAAGGATAAAAGTGTAGGAGGAATGAATTGAATGATCATAGAAAAAGTAATGACAGCCTTCACAAACAAATGTAACTATTTAAATACAAGCTTGTTGATATTATATTATATACTACTTACTATGAAATAAGTTGGTCTCGTGTTTTTTGTTGTTATTGAATTAATTAATGGAGATGGTGAGAAAAGATACATAATAATATAAGTAAACTCGGTAAAGGGCGGCACACGACTTATCATAATATAAGTATTAAAATGTTAAAAAAAATACCGTAAATAGAACATATCAATCCGAATGTTCACTTGCCATATAATATAGTGGCATATCACTTTATATTACATGTAGTGTTTAAAATTTCCTTGATAGGGGTTGATATTTTCAAGGAAGAATTCAAACAATCCAAGAAAGATATGGAAATAAAGGTGAAGTCCATACTTTTCCTTAGAAAAACTTTTAAGTTTAGACTAAAATCGATAAATATCATCGATATTTCTGAACACATATTATAAACATCGAAAACTCTTATATTTCATCATTTCCATCGAAATAAACCGATATTGATACTGATGTTCGATAGATTCAATAATATTTTTACAAATTTGCATATATCTATGTTTCCAACACTGATATTTTAAACGGTAGTTACAGGTACACATGAAAATTACTCCTGGGGTGGTGGTGGTAGAATCGCTGCGGTATTATTTCACCTGTACTAGACAACAAAAGTACGGATGATAAGTTAAAGAAGAGAAATCAAACCTGGATACATACAAATGTCCATTCTTGAACCCTAGAATTAACACACACCCCGCGTGTACCCATTTCTATATTAGCCGTCAGATCAATCTGAACGGTATGTATAAAGTCTTAAAATTAAGTTAATAATCTCCTAATAAAATTCCCAAATTCTTTCCCACTCTTTCCCCTCCCAGGCCGCCATCAATCACCGCCTCTCCCCGCCATATAACTCCATCGAAACAACCACCTTTCCTTCCATCTCAGACTCTGAGAGACAGAGAGAATGGGTAAGAACGAGAAGACGGGGCTGGGTAGGGCCCTTGTGAGACAGCATAACCAACTTGTTCAGCAGACGAAAGAGAAGGGCCTGATGTACAAGAGGCAGCAGAAGAAGGTTCTCGAATCCGTCACCGAAGTCAGCGACATCGACGCCATCGTCGAAAAAGCCGACGAAGCCGACCGCCTCTTCTCCCTCGACCACCCTACGCCTAACCTCCTCATCGACCTGTAAGTTTTATTTCCCCCTTTTACCCCTCAACTCGATTAAACTTTTGAAATCCCTCTTTCTTTCTTATTTATTTTAGAATGGTTTTTCTGTAATTTTGTTGTGCGAGAAGAGATGGGAATGAGATAACCCCGGAGCAGCGGAGGGAGCAGAAGAGGAAAGAGGAGGCCCTGCACGCCGGAAGTCTGCGCGTGCCGCGGAGGCCTCCGTGGACCCCTCAAATGTCTGTGGAGGAGCTGGATAACAATGAAAGACAGGCCTTCTTGACCTGGCGCAGAAGCCTTGCCAGGCTTGAGGAGAACGACAAGCTTCTCCTTACTCCTTTCGAGAAGAACCTCGATATTTGGAGGCAGCTATGGCGGGTTGTCGAGCGTAGCGATTTGGTAAGATAGGCCAAATGACCTCGTCTATGTTTCAATTTCACTATGAATTATTATTATTATTATTGCGTAATAATATTGTGCGGTATTTTATTTCAGCTTGTGATGGTTGTTGATGCACGAGACCCTCTATTCTATCGCTGCCCTGATCTTGAGGTAATGTTAGTAATTTGTTGTTCGTTTACATTATCTTGTCGTGTGTGTTAAGGAATGGATGATAAGGGAATGAGCACATTGTTTAGCCTTAGAAGTTAGATTAATTGGTGGCGTTGCTTGATAGGGATTTAGGGGTTGTTTGTTATTCAATTTGAAACTAATTTATAGGTTTCCAAAATGATGAGACGTAACTAAATTACTTAACACCCATTGGTTTCGGAAACAAGAAAATTGAATCCAACAAGGATAAACAAAACCGGCACTTAATTACCATAATGACTTGTGAAGCTTCGAAAGGACAAGTTGTTACTGTTATTGATGCCTTCCGATTGGTTTGTAAAATATGGACTGCAAATTGCACACGGTGGGTCTTTGTTGAAGAAAAACAGGGTTAAGTTGGTTCGAAAATGTTACTGAAAGAGCCCCATCAATCTTGATGGCGTGAGTCTCTTCCATTGAATTCCCAAGGGACACATCATTTGTAGTTTCCTCAAGATACTTTGAAATGGAGAAACCTTGGTTCTTTCCTCTTTAACTAGAGATGACTTTGAATAACAGTACTTATCTTTACTCTATGCAGGTTTATGCACGAGAGGTCGACAAGCACAAAAGGACAATGCTTCTTGTTAACAAAGCAGATCTCTTACCTTTATCTGTTAGGTTTGTACCTTTGTAACCTTGATGAGCTGTTCTGTTCTTCAATTTGACACCCTCCTAAATTAATTTTATTACTTGGCTTTTTCTTCAGGGAGAAGTGGGCACAATATTTCCGTTCGCAAGATATTCTCTTTGTGTTTTGGTCGGCTAAAGCTGCTACAGCAGCTACAGAAGGGAAAAGTCTCAGTTCCCCGTGGACAGAAAATAGCCTGCAGGAGTCAGAAGACCCTGATACAAAAATATATGGGAGGATTGAGCTTTTGGCTCGTTTACAATCTGAGGCAGAAGAGATAGTCAAACTGAGGAAATCAGGATCCAGTGGTTCTCGAAGAGGAAATGTTGTTGGAAATTCAGCTTCTAGTAATGTAGTTGTGGGATTTGTTGGATATCCAAATGTGGGAAAGAGCTCGACAATTAATGCCTTGGTAGGCCAGAAGAAGACAGGTGTTACCTCTACTCCTGGGAAGACAAAGCATTTCCAAACATTGATTATGTCTGACGAGTTAATGCTATGTGATTGCCCTGGATTGGTCTTTCCATCCTTTTCAAGCTCAAGACATGAAATGATTGCTTCTGGTGTATTGCCAATTGATCGAATGACTGAGAATAGGGAGGCTGTGCAGGTAGTGGCCAATCGAATTCCACGGCACGTTATTGAAGCGTTTATAGGATTGATCTGCCCAAGCCCAAATCCTATGAACTGCAGTCTCGACCACCTTTGGCAGCAGAATTTCTGAGGGTCTATTGTGCCTCTCGTGGTTATGTCGCCTCAAGTGGGCTTCCTGATGAAACGAGAGCTGCCCGCCAAATTTTGAAGGATTACATTGATGGAAAGCTGCCCCATTATCAAATGCCCCCTGGAATGACTGAGGAAGATGCTGTGGGAAACTCCTTATCTGAGCAGCATAAATCAGACTCCTCTGAGAATGAACACTCTGTAGATGATGAAGGTGAAGACGAGCCAGAGCTTGATCATGTCCTGGAAGATCTCAATTCATTTGACTTAGCTAATGGGCTGGCTACCAAGAAGAAAGTCACTGTCAGAAAGCCCACTGCGCCCCATAAACAACACAAAAAGACTCAAAGGAAGAAGGATCGCTCCTGGAGGGTAGGGAATGACGGAGGAGATGGAATGCCAGTTGTAAGAGCCTTTCAGAAACCAGCAAACACTGGCCCTCTTAACGTTGGATAATTCATTCATGTCCCCTTAACCTTTATTCAGCTTCTTGTGCTGCAATTTAGAATCTAGATGCATATGGGCTTTGTGTAATAGCAATCAAACTCTCTTTCCCGTGCATTGTTGCCGTCCACTCACCTTCGTTTCTGCCCAACCCACGACGACCAAAAAGGTGAGTGATGAAAGTACAAGGGAGCATTTATGTATCTGTTTTTATGTATCTTCTTATTGACGAGTGTACTACGAATTCGACCCAAATAAAATAGGGTTTTCACCTAACATAGCGCCGTTCCACAATTGAAATCCACAGTACAGTTATAACAAATGTGCGATTGTGTCGTAAAGCTGGACAATTGAGTATATGCCCAGACAGAGCCTCAGAACCTCCATAGGCCTCTTATTTATTTTCTTTCCCTTTCTCATCTAAACCCAATTCACCTTCCTCAGTCCTTAAGTTTGTATATGCCCAGACAGGGTTGATGCAAGAAATTGGATACTTGATTATTCAGGATGCTTCTCTGTTAAAATCACATTGCGATTTCCTTCTGAAAAACAGTGCAGGTAGGGTTTTTCAGACTTATGGCCTGATTTGGAAATCTGAAGTTCCTAACAAAGTGAGGCTTTTACTTTGTTAGTGGCTCATGGGGAAGTTAACACTTTCGACGTGCTCCAAAAACGGAGACCTAGTTCATGTCTGCAACCTGAGTGGTGCATTTTTTGCAAGAAAAGTTTGGAGTCTGTAGATCATTTGTTTCTTCACTGTGCAGTGACTTTGAATCTATGATTGAAGTTGTTTAGGGAGTTGGTATCAGTTGGGTTTTACCCAGGGATTGTTATTCTTTAGGTGGTGAAACGTAAATTATTAGGAAAGGGGAATAAAATCAAGGTCTCATGGAGATGTATGGTTTCAGCTACCTTTTGGGTCGGTAGAGATTTGTGATTGGATTGATAACCCAAAGTACACCTATAAATTTGAACTTTCAGGAAAGTAGCTGATATACCCTTACATTTAACAGAAAAATAAACGACATTAATGAAAAGAAGCAATGGTACGACATATTGTTAAGAAATGGACGATTTGATAAATAAAAATGACGGATTGCGGTTATATCAAATTGGACAAGGTTTAT